TTTAGTTGCGTTACGTAAAAGGCACGAAGAGAAATACTTAAATATTGAACGAACATGAAAAATGGAAGAAAGGCCAACGGCTTTACAAAATATATGACGTATGACCGAAATGTCTGCTGAAAGAGTTTCGGCTGCTAATAGAAAACAGAAAAACGAATTATAGTTGCGCGAAATTTAAAACGAATAAGCGCAAAAGCTGCTGAGAAAAAGATTTTATAATCTTGCGAGACTTGAATCGAATAAACGTAAGAAAGACGTTTGATAAGAACGTTTTATAACCGTGGCAGACTTGCGATCGGATATGCACGAACCCTGCTAAGAAATATGGTTTCAATTTTTTTTTCAATTTTCAATTTTTGCAAATAATAACAACTTAAATCTTTCATTTTTATTCACAAACCACGCTGTGCTCTTCGACGATCTATTTTGGTTTTGTCTCGTATGTATGTATGCCTTTTGACATTGCAAACGCAATGATATAATCTTTACTATACCAACCATAGTCGTCTGATGATTAACTATATTCGACTAAACGAATAAGTTTTTTTGTTGCAGGCCAAACCTAATAAACTGGCACGTTAAGATTTTAGATCGTATACACCCGAACTATACTACTACTATTAAATTCCTTAACAGTATGAAAATATTTCGTAATATTTAGTGTAATTATTATGTAAACATTTGCACTAATAATGACGAATGTAACGCCTTATAGGCAAAAACAATATTTTGATACACAGTCGGCGACCGCAATACTAACACAACGCTATCTACATAGACATAGGAAAAGAATGGCATGCGGAAGAAAGGACAGAGTACAGTAAACCGAGCTCAAGATAAAGAAAGCGAAAGACAAAGACGCATTATAAAATTATGTTGACATCGAAACGAATCTTGTGCACCCATAGTTTAAGGCAACACTGTATATTTTGTTGTTTGTTGAGAGGATGATTAGTGTATCATTTTTTCAATGAACTTGTTGATTAATAAAATACATTTTTCATCGGTGTACGCTTTAGATAGTAAGTTATGGATAACTTTTTGGACAAATTAATTGCATTAGTGCATCAAGTCTTGTAACTGCGCGAGCCTTGACGACATATGAACATACAGGCGTTGCTCAAAAGAATATTTATACTACTTTGTGTTAGGCATTTCCACCTGGCACAACCAGGAAAATAAATGCAAGACACCGCCATTACAGGGTAGTGAGTTTTGTAATGAATATATAACTTTTACTTAAAAAATTATGACACGCACAAAAAGGAAGGGTATCAATAAACAATGTAAGTCGCTGGAAATAAATTTGTTTTTGTAGTTATAAAAAAATATTTTTTAAATTTTGGCTTAGATGAAAATATATTCTTTTAACATTTATATTTCTTATCAAATATATTATATTTTTCAGGAAGGTCGGGGCATATGTCTTCACGATTTGTGAGAAAGAAATTGAGATAATACAAAAAAAAAAAAAAAAAAAAAAAGAAGAAAACAACTACAACGAACAACGTATAAAGTTACAAATTTGTAGCTAAACAAGTTTAATAATAATACATTGGCCAATGATTAAGATGGATCATTGCGTAAACTCAAGGCGGACCAATGTTACGTAAAACTTGGTCTCTACGAAGCCTTAGAAAGGCGTTAAGTTAATCTTTCGAGAACGTTTCTATTTTCTTTCAATTTTAACGTGCATTACAATGATTATTAAAGAGTATGGCTGACACCCTCACATATTTCGCAAAACGACAACCCTGGGATCGCCATACAGAAGCCAAACGGTCTTCTCTTCTCTAAAATCATTCTACCATGGAAGCCTGAAGGCTAGAGACGTGAGAAGTCGGCAAGCGACTATAAGGTACATTTGTTGTTTCAAATTTTTTTTATTTCATTTATTGAGAGATCTGTGTCAGAATAGGCCTCACCAGAAGCACTCCGCTACCACGTACATCAAAAAATCTCCGAGATATTATAAGCCGGACTGATAATAGCATCTGAGTGTTTTATAGCAAAAGTATACGGCTTATCCAAATAATCCATTGGGTTTGCTTGTCGATGATGACGAGTAATACAGGTTAGGTTTTCGCGAACGCAAAAGCTTGCGAATCTCAACCTAGACATCGTATCTTACCACAGAATCTTATGATAATTGATGCACAATTTCCATGTGGACTAAGGTTATCAATCATTTCGAAATCAAACGTTTTTTAAGCATTAAATTCATATGAAAGGATCGTTTCGCGTGCGCCTGATCGTCCAAATTTAACTTGATTAATGGGTGCATCATTAACATCAACCATGACTTCTCCTAATCATCTAATCATATTATTTAAATTGTTGTAAACAAATAAATGAAATAAGGTAAAATGTTAAATAAATTATATCGGGTATCTGCACGAAATATATGTGCATATTAGAAGGACTTACATTTTTGCAAGTGAATGATCTTTTTGAGTTCGATAAATTTTATATTTAATTCGTGGAGAGTTGTTAAGATTTCGCATATTTTATTTTTACATTTGCAACTTTCATCATAAGGGCAACGGAGAGTTTCAGTTTTCCTCTTCGTTTTTTCAAAAATTATTTTTTTTAACGCTCAAGGAATGAATATTGAATTTATTATGTCTAAGCATAACATCTTAGCGGAATTGCCGTAAAAGTTCGTTGCTAGGTATCATCCACTCCACCAATCAGACGACACATCATAGATTGTGTGGATGCTGAAATTCGTATCGTTATACTCTTTGCGACGTATGTTTTCATATGTCGTTTTTTCTTCTTCTTTTTTGCCAACAAGGCGTAACCGCAACTTTTCAAAAAGCTATGAGTTCGTGTCAACGCACGCAAAGTCGCTTACGAGATTTGTTTAAGGAAATTTTAATCCGCCAAATGCCTGGCTTAAGCCAATCAGCTGCCAATACTATTGATCAAATCTTTAGTTCGACATAGATCAATATTTGATGAATACAAAGATGAAATATAATCTTACAAAATAATTTACATTTTCGCTATGGATCATGTGCAGACGTTATACATATATATTGATTATGAGACTGAGGCGTACAATAGATTAAAAGTGTTTCATTCGATATTTAATCATATTTTAAACTATCGTTTTTAAATTAGTTTTTATTTTATAGTCTTAACGTTTGTATGCATTTTTATGATGTATAATATATTAGGCTTGGTCCGCCTTCAACGGCCAGCGAAATATGTGAATATAACTAGATAATTATTGACGTAGACATTACACGAAATATTGCATGTTGAAAAATATGTTAATAATAGAGAGAGACTCTTGTATCTTGGTTTCATTAAAATTAAATTTTTTGATAGCTTTCGTAACGAGGTATTGCAAATTATCGCGCCCACAACCGAATTCCATAGAATGTCTGACGACATATGGAATATATAGAGCAATTTAACATAGAAAAATCGTTCAGGATTCCATCCAGAATAATTGAAGATGTATTTACTGAAAACGGTATAGGTGACTTCAAATAGCAGTACCGGAAAAGCTCTACACATGAAAAAGATTAATAAATAGATGGGCAGATGGAATAATTTTATTAATAATGCCTTCCAATGAGCTTAAACTACCAGAAAATAAATTTCAAGGTACTTAACATAAATACGTGGCTATCTACTCTATCTGGGACTTAACACCATAGATGGATTATTCCGTTACTTAACACCGCGCAAAGTGAAATAAATTCCACGCAGCAAATTTATCACATGTTATCGTTCGAGCTTCGATAACTTAATGTTATACCGTCAACATATACATGTTATTTCTTCTGTTCGAGTCCTGGCCTGTTTAAAATTAACGCTTGATTTCTCTAAAATTAATGCTGTCAACGAGAAAGATTTACAACCTAATCTTCATCGATGAAATCTCTTCCACCCCAAGCAAAATGCATTAAAATTACTTGAAAAGGATCATCAACTTGGTAAGAAGACTGTATGGATGCCGTACCGTCTAAGCGATTCCTACGCTATCTAATAGGAGCAATATAATCATGCTAAAGTACTCCAGAATAAGTGAATTCAAAAACTTAAACAATATTAGAAGTCAAAATGAATGGTTGTAAATATATACCGATTATTATGACTAAACTGCATTCGCAGTCTAAAATCAAAATTTTTTAATACGCAATCTCTTTTTTACAACAAATGATAAGATATTTGAAAATTTTTATTTGTTGCACATAATTTCAATTGAAAAGTTATTTATTAGCAGTTCACAAGAAATGATTTAATCCGCAGCGTTTTTTCTTATGTGGATTTTTTTTTATGCCCGCTACCGTAAAATTAAGGTAAATTTCTTTTGTCAAAAAGTTTACAACACCCAGAAGAGAGGTTTCAAATTTGACAAAACTGTTGGAAATGCTTGCACATAAGTTGGCATTGGAAACGGGTTGCATCGGTCAAAGAACGCACCTGCAATGCAACATAAACTGAGCACTTATCTGCTTCCTGAATTTCTTGTTCACTGCTCACAAACTACTATACACTTCCTCCTTCCTTTATAGTACACAAAAATGGATAAAATCAGTCACGTCCACCTAATATTATAAAGAAGTTTTTCGTTTTTTTTTTTTCAGGATAATCATGGCGGGGGTGAGCATAAAAGTTTCGGTCACCGCCGAATATAATATTTTTTTCTTTTTTAAATGTCATACATGATAAATATATGTAGGGATGTACGAAATGGAGTGTTAAGCGAGAGCTAGGAAAGTTTCAAATAATAGACAAATAACATGGTATGGATAAAACGGACAATTTTTGTTAATATGAATTTTTCATAAGTCTTTTTTAATCCTCTACTCGTATATAAATCGATTTTTCTTTTGTCTACTATGCGTTGCTTATATTTGTAACAATCGCGAATGAAGCAATGCCTTATAATTGTCCGGTTGGTTTATGGGAGGGGATTTAATGAGTTAAGATAAATTGCCCTGTTAAACGGATAAGATAATGACTGAATCGATTTCCATTATATAAAATGATTACCAAACTTGGGAAGCAATAGTCAATTTGATACCGTTTCACAATGAAGACTTTTATTTTTGCAACTTTACTGATTGCTGTTGTATCGGCTGGCTTCGTACCCATCTCCCAAAGACGTCTCCCATTGGTGCCTCTTGTGCCTACAGAGGAATTGGAGGGCCGCATTACCAATGGAGAATTAGCAAAGCCTGGTCAATTTAAATACCAAGTTGGTTTAAAATTAACAATCGGTGATAAAGGCTTCTGGTGCGGTGGCACATTGTTATCTGAACGATGGATTTTAACTGCTGCCCATTGTACTGATGGCGTTGACGGTGTTACCGTTTACTTAGGAGCTACCGATATACACAACGAGAATGAAGAAGGCCAACAAAGAATCTATGCTTCAAAGTCAAACATCATCGTTCATGAAAAATGGGAACCAGCTACGTTAAGCAATGACATATCTTTAATCAAATTACCCGTACCTGTTGAGTTTAACAATTACATTCAGCCAGCTACTCTGCCCAAGAAAAATGGCCAATATTCCACCTATGACGGGGAAATGGTTTGGGCTTCTGGATGGGGTAAAGATAGTGATTCAGCCACTGCAGTTTCACAATTTCTTCGCTATATCGAAGTACCTGTATTACCTCGCAACGATTGTACAAAATATTACGCTGGCTCGGTCACTGATAAAATGATTTGCATAAGCGGAAAAGATGGTAAATCAACTTGCAATGGAGATTCCGGTGGCCCATTAATTTACAAGGAGGGCGATACTAATTACGTTATTGGTGCTACATCCTTTGGTATTATTATTGGTTGCGAGAAAGGTTGGCCAGGAGTATTCACTCGCGTCACTTCTTACCTAGATTGGATTGAAGAGAAGTCTGGTGTAGTTAATGCATAATATGCAATAAAAAAATATATTCTTTCTTGCCACCTCTAATAAAAACTTAAATCCTAAATCCTATAATTTTTATTTCACTTTTATTAGTAGTTTATGCTTGGAAATGTATACGGTTTCCTCAATTCCAATCGTAATCTGCTTACTTACAAACATTACATACTTAAGCTTTGATATTCTGCACATTTAAAATAAATTTTTAATGTTATTGGGATAGTGGAAGTCGTTAGACGTACGTAGACTTCAATAATTTTGTTTGATACGCATCACCGAAGGATGGGGTGTACATTAATTTTGTCAAAACGTTTGCAACGCCCAGAAGAAAGCCTCAGAGACCCTAAAAGTATATATAGTCTTGATCAGGTGCTAACCATATTTATTTATTTATTTATTTATTTATTCTACTATTAATTAAAAATAAATATAAGTTTTGCATTAAGAGCCAATTGAACTCGACTGTTGTTTGTTTAGTTGAGTTTCTAGTATAAGTCAAATAAATGAATAAATAAATAAATATGATTAGCACCAAATTTTGAATCGATTTAAATACGTCCATATGTCTATTTGTGTAATATTTATTGTAAACATTTTCTTGGCCGCAAAAATGAAGCTATCGACTTCAAATTGGCAGAAACATTACAAGTTCATACAGGCAGATTTACATTGAAAATGGGCCAAATCGCCGCCAAATGTGCCAATAATATATTACGTAAAGTGAGAAAACCTTTATTTCTTAAAAGAAAAGAAAAACGTTCTTTTTCCTTATTACTTATAAACCCTGCGGCAAATAAATGTATAAAAATCTAAATGTGGGCGATGCTGTAGTACGTATACAAAAATGCGAGAAATTGAACGCACCTGCCTAACATTACGGTGTATAAAAATTTAATTTTATTTTTTCAATACCTTTATACTTCGCAACAACAATCTTCAAAAACCACATAGAGTATGTAAATTCTTGACTAGTTTCAAAATTGAAATACACCTAAGCATGTCCGTCTGTTCTTCTGCCCAACTGTGTAGTGCTAGGTGATTGCATGTATTTTGATAGGCGACTTCTACAAGTAAAAATAATAAAGAAATGGAAAATATCAGTGTACACAACGATTAAATTCGATGGTTTCGACCTTTCCCTACATAATATAACAGTTTTCCATTTAATATTAGTGAATTATTCAACGCATGCCGACGCTAATCGCGTAGAGCGCTCACAATTATATTTTCATCATTTTTGTTATTTATTTGAAGAAATCCGTTGCCAAAGCCTACTAAACATGTTCAGAAATTTATGGCGATGCTGCTCCATCGTAGCCCAATTGTTGGTTTTGCTTTCAACGGTATAAAAGTAGTGACACGGATTGATTGAAAATGCCATTTTTTGCCCACTTGCTGTAAGAGTTGTCAAGGATACACTGTTGCAGCTCGAATGGGAAGTTCAGTTGCGCCCAGCGTACTCACCAAACATGGCGCATTCTGATTGTCACTCGTTCAGATCGATGCAGCTTGGCTTGGCTGGCACGCAGTTCCGCAAAGTTGAAAAAGTGCAAAAATACGTCAATAGTTGCATCACCGCCTAACCAATATAAGTTCCTTCGACACGCCATGTTGCCAAAGATATGGGAAAATGTTGGAGAAAATTATGGAAAATATTTTGATTAATATATATTGTACCGATTTTTCGCAATAAATACCTTTTTCAAGTGAAAAAACCGTCAAAATATATGCAACCACCTAATATATGTGATAAACATTCTCTCGTTCGCGAAATAGAAGATGTCGCCTACAAATTTGCAAAAGAATTTGAAAATAACTTAAACTCGTCGGAGAACACGCCTACAACGCGCAAACACCTATGCAATAAAAACGGAGGACGTCTTTGCTTGTTACTCGTTGAGTACAACACATACACCATATAAATGTCCAGAAAAAATCAGTCGAATCCAGGCAACATGATAGAGTAAGAAAATGTAGATCTTTTCCTGTTTTTTTAGGCCTTTTAGGATAGCAATAATAGGCATAAAAGATTCGGACACAACCGAATATAATTTTCTGGCTTGTTTAAGTTCTTTATTTGTTTTCGCTTGCAATTGAAAATTCTAAACTTTACAATCAAGTTTGAAATTTACAAATCAGATTTGAAAATGGAAGCATATCAACCATAAACATGATAATCACAAATAAAAAAGTAAAAGTCATTCCGAAAATAAGAGACACTGCAAATTACAAAACATTGCGTAGATAACTTTCGTGTTAAAGTTTTTTATCCGAGAAATATTTATAAAAATGTTACGTAAAAATAATATTGATCAGAATTCAGAATAGCAGGATCTTGTTTGTATACATAAGCGATGCAAAAGTTGTATTTGTTTGGAGACAAACGTTTGATTTACATTATCCTATTTACTAAGAATTAAGTTGTGCTAACCGAACGGAATTATATTTATAATAAACTTTTAATTATTTTCCCATTGAGTTATCCTTTATTCACACAAACGGGGAAATTATAGTTTTCCTTTCGGTTATGGGCGAATGACTTCCTACATGAGTTTGCGACAATCAATTGGAAACCTGAAATGTTTATTAAAGATTTCAGCTTTGAATGTTAAATTTCGCTTCCATAAGCCTTTAGCAACAGACGCTTAAACATATTAATATGAATTGACTCAGAAATGAAAGAAACGCCATACTTTCAACTTTCCGTTATTTGATATCGAAATACAAGGATCACCATGATGTGTAACACCCAAAATGTTGCTCCGTAGACCATAGAAAATACGCATTCGTTTAAGCGTGTTTGACATATGGTCTCAAAAATTTCAAAAAATTCATTCATTTTTGAAAATTCGCCAACAATAATCGGCATCAACGCTCTTATTTAGAAGCCGATTTCAGATGTTAAAGATAAGAGATTAAGACATAAATAAAAATGTACTTTGATATTCAAAGCGTCCCAATTTTTATACCCTCCATCACTTATAGTCCAAAGACGAGTGTTAAAGAAAATGATTCGGATCGGATCACTTTTTCGAGCAGTTCCCATATAAAATCTTATTTTAAAAGGCCATTGCATGAATAACTGTTAAATAGTGTGGGGTATGTCCCGCTTTTAGTGTTTTCACTTGTTAAGAAATAAATTTACTTGATCTTTGGAACAAAAAGTTTACTTATATATATGTCATCTCCTTACTCACCTGATAGTATTTCGTTATTACATACACGCTTACGTATATCAGTCATTAGATATGTGTAAGTGGCCTTCATGGATTCGATTGCATAACTCAAGTGAGCGTCTGTATGTATGTATGTAGATAAATAAATGTATCTATATATATATATATATATAAATATGCATTCAATATATACGCGCACATTATTATTTATTATTTTTATTCATTCATTTAGCATAACTTTATTGCTCCAGTAAACATTTCGATTCCTTAACATATCACGTGTACATTTTTTTACGCTCATATAGCTCATATACCTGCTGTCCAATCCAACAGCGATGAAATGTGAACCTTGAACGAATCGTAATTTCGTATTAGATTCAGATTAAAATAATCTTTTCATGTTAATCAAATTTCTTTACCTTTCAAATCAATGATAAAAAGAATCCCAGCGATTATGAAATGTACGCAAAGTCACGAAACTTAAAACTTTATCCCATAAAGTTGTAACAGCAAATTCATTACGAATCATTCATTGTTGCGGCAATACTCTGTACACATAATAAATTTTCCACTTTACCACGCCGGTGTAATATAATAAAAACAATTAAAAACATTACATTTGGTGTAAGGCGAATTTTAAATATACACCGCCACCTCAAACAAATCTAGAAAAAACGTAATTTTTATTTATTGATAAAGTTTTTGAAGATAAGGTAATAATATGCAATATTTATGCCAAATATCAAATGAATGTCGTCTCCCTGTATCAATAATTTGAAATTTTCGATTTTCTTGCCCATAGGAAGAAACATGCACATTACATATTTCGCAGAATAATTAGATTTTTGAGCAGCATGAGTAACAGGAATAACTAAACCCTATATTGTTGACCCTCTGGTTCTGTTGTTTTCAAGATCTTGTCACAAAATTGATTTCAACATTTTTTTTCTTTCTGATGAAAGGTCGGTACAAAGATAATCAAAAGCGGTTCACGGATGCTTTTATAAAACTTTTTTTTTTCAGTTTAGTACACTCTCAAGATTTTATTTAATACTTTGAATATGATGTTCAATCGAATCAATATGAAAAATTAATTGAATTGATGCAATCAGTTCATCACCATTCCGAAAGAACGAAGTTTAATTAACATAAAAATAGGGTTTTTCGGGTTTTTACGACAACTTTGAAAATACCAACAACGCTTTTGTGACTTTAACAAAAAAAAAGATAAACATAGTATACCGTTATTCACTGATAATAGTCGCTTATAATAATCACCATCAACTTTACAATTTGCTTATTTAGTGGTTACAATCCGGTAAATGTTGTAAGTAAATGTTATAAATGAGTTAAGGTGAGTATAAAAGAGCTCTGTGCTTATGTTATAATTGCCTACCAAAGCAACCGTTATTTATTAATAATGATAATCATATTAATATAGGTGTAGTTAAAATATTTAACACCCTTTACAAACGTGGCATGCTTCAATTTGCAATCATTTACTTACATCTTCGCTTAATTGCATAATGATTTTTTATGAAAATTGAACCATTGCTTGAAATCGATCTGACCACAAACCCGGGTATTGAAAAAAAAAAAAAACCTAACGAAGAAATTTGCTATTACCAGATCATAGAATGAATGAATAATTGATATGTAGGTCTGTTTAAATGGGAAAGAAGTTTTACGCCTACAGTATATATCGTATACGGAAGGGAACTGTTTATTGGAAAATGGATTAAGCGACATGGTAAGAATTTAGCATATCATATAGGTAAATACGAAAGTACTTCATAGTGGCATAATAGCATATGGCAATAATATATGAATAGTAAGTAGACTCTTCACAAATTCATTTTTGATCACTATAGCATGGTCACCACCCATATATGGTTGGCCTGTAAGCTTCCTCGTTTTTTTTGTTGACGTTTTCAAAGTTAAGACAGAATAGGGAGTACAATTACACTTTTCCCAATAAAAGTTCATCATTTTGTAGCGAAAATTGCTTTACTACGTTAATCGGTTCAATGTCCAATCTTGAGAGTGCGTTCGATGCAATAGAAGTGGATCAAAAGTTTCTAATATAATCAACAGTTACAGAATGTATTTTGTGTATGAAAAAGAAAGTAAGAAAAATGAATTCCTCTTGATGTCTTTCCCTTAACTTATTTCATTATTTGAAGAGGCCTGCATATTAATAACGTATTGTAATTTATTCCAACTATCAACAGATGAAGCAAATTAAAAAAATAGCCAATATAAAAATAGAATAAGAATATTAAATGAAGAAGCAACCAACATTATTGATTTATAACTTACCACTTGTTTAAGATAATTGAGTAAGATTTTGGATGCCGCTGATACCGAGTAAAACAGAGTTAGTGTCACACCATTTTTTTTTATCGAATAACCCTCCTTCTTTCATATAATGTGGGAAGTGTATGATTTGAGAAAAAAACTTATAGTTTTGAAACAAAATACATTTGGATCCTTTCTTTTGTATAGATATAGATATTATTTTAGATATCATTTTATTTCAACATGCTTCTCATGTTTTTTTAAAATTCGTTGAAATGTATTATTTTCAAACATATTAGATTTGCCTCACTTTCAAAACACTTATGTATTTGTATCATTGCCTGTATAATAATGTAATGCATGTAGTGGTACTTAGTGGTTATCCATGAATGAATGAATGAATAAGTTTGTGTTTTCAGTTTTTTACAGGTTGCTAACGATGATGCAACATAACTTTTCAAGTTTTAATTAAACAAATGCTATGGTTTAAGCAGCTTGTATATTTTATAGGGCTTGGTTACGTTCCCAGGCCACAATGCAAGCATTAACTGCATTTTATAAAAGCTCATGCCACAGTAAGGTTTCGCTTAGTCCATTCGAAGGCAGCGGCACTAAAAAAATGAACAACTTATTAATCGCATGACGCCGACCGATTGCGCCGTTTGTTTAAGTAAGGTGCTGGGAGGATAGCTTGCCTGATATATAATAATAATAATAAATGGGAGTTTTTTGCGCAGCATACTTAGAAGAAAAAAATGATTATACGGATTTATATGTTTGTTATGTGCCGTATTTGTTTGTTGCATTTCGAATTCACGTCTGCCATACAGTGGAACGCAGTAAAATCCATGTACTTGGTTTCCACTTACATTGATTCTAGCGTCGAAGATGAGAGCGTGTCATCTGAGAATACACCTGTATTAAATTTAAAGGCTGCGATTAGTCTAAAAACGGATCAGTTAATGGAAAATGAAAAGAAATATGCAATAAATCGAATTTTTGGTGGTAGCGAGGCCCTGCCAAATTCATTTGCTTATCAAGTTGGATTTTTATTGCAGCGACCGAGAGGTTTATATTGGTGTGGTGGCTCTCTAATTTCCCAGGAATATGTGTTAACGGCTGCTCATTGCGTTGACATGTAAGTTTACTTATTGAATTTTCACTTGAATTCATTCGTTTTCTTCATTTTTCTTCTTTCACTGAAGGGCTTCGCGTGCCCTAGTTTTTCTCGGAGCTCATGATATCAAAGATGCTAACGAATCTGGCCAAATGAGATTAATGGTACATTCCCATGATTTTATCATTTTCCCTACATGGAGCCCACGAAAACTGAAAGATGACATTGCATTAGTGCATTTACCTACGCCAGTTAGTTATAATGGTAAGCCTTATAATAAAAAAATATGGTAATTAGGAAATGTTTTCTTCTACGACTGCTTATTTAACAAAAACTCATTTCAGAACGTATTCAACCCATTCAGCTACCTTATCGCGAATATGCCTATCGAAGTTTTGAAAATAAGCTTGCGATCGCATCTGGATGGGGGCGCTACGTATCTGGCGTTCATGCAATCAGTAACGTATTGCGCTATGTACGACTACGCATAGTAGATGGCAAAACATGCAAAAGAAGCTACCCATTCTCGTATAGATCGACTAACGTATGTACAAGTGGCGCTAACCAAAAATCCACCTGCAATGGAGATTCGGGTGGCCCGCTAGTACTACAACGGAGAAACTCCAAGCAAAGAGTGCTTGTGGGGATAACGTCATTCGGCAGTATCTTGGGTTGTGATCGCGGTTTTCCAGCTGCATTCACCAAAGTCGCTTCCTATTTAGATTGGATTAGTGATGAAACGGGTATAGATCCTGGCGATGATAGATGGAATACAATCAGCTTTAAGGAGATATCCAAAAAACATCATTACAAATACAAAGATAGAGATGTTACCAATGCTGATACATTTCACACCAATTTCAAACACTACCCTGATGCAGAGTTATTAGATATAACTCTTGTTGATAGTGTCAACTATAATACACCTTTTCAAAGGCAAAAGAAAGATTACAGCATATTTGTGTTTCACTAATGGTTTGAGGAAAAATAAATGCTTTATTCCCATAAAAGGTTGCGAGTATATAATATTCAGTCTGTCCTATATAAATAAAACGCAAACAACAAATATTTATACAATCGCTTATCTATTAGTGGCAAACGGAAAGAACGTTTTCTTCTTTATCACGACTGTCATTAAGCTTTTTTAATAATTCTTCTAAAGAAACCTTTCTAAGGGCGGACCGTCCACTAAAAGTTTTTTTGATTTTTGCTCTTCGTTTATTAACTAATGCTTTATTTTGATCCAAACCGTTATGGCAGGATAAGTAGCGTTTTATTTTACGATTTCCTATGAGGCGAGCATGCTCTAACTCCTCAATATCATTATCTTGTAAAACATTTGGCTCTTCGAATATCGTCTCTAAAGCAGAAGGTTTAAAATTTGTTAGCTTCGTCTTCTTCATATAAATTCGTTTAATATCCCTAGGTCTTAACATTGTAAAGTCTTTAATTTTTTTTTTATTAGGTTTAGTTTTCATTATAGAATGACGTTTGTTACCAAATGCGGACTCATCTTTTGAGGCACGTGGGGGTAAAATCCGCCTTTCAATAAATGCATTCGCCCTTCGATCGTTTCTACAACTGATATTAGCTGCGCCAGTAATTTCATGATTTACTTCTTGAAATTCTTTAGTATTATTCACATTTCCCATTGCTTTATCAGAGTTAATATGATTAACACGCCACTGACCGGTTTCATCCAACAACGCTTTCAACGATTCCATTTCTATTGAAGTTCTTTGACATTGAGTTATAGCGCTAAAATTTTGGGTTTAATACTTCGTCTAGAGATAAAATTTAATTGATTAAAACTTACGATCTTTCATCAATTTTTTCAGAATTTTCTTGTTGAAAATTTATATTTGCAATGCCAAGGACGACTCTGTCCATTATCTATAGTGTTGCCAGTATGAATTCATTGAGAATTAAATAAAGTTGTTGCCAAACCTATATACATCGCACCCTTTTTATAATGAATTTTGTAATTCAATTGTACGTAATAGTTCGAAACGAAATAGTTGAATATATACATTTTACAAACTAATAATATATGCATGGATATATTATGCTATACGCTCCTGTAAAATTAAAAAAAAATATGTCGCGTGATTGGAGCGGAAAGTCAACTATTTATTCGGGTTATTTATTTCGGAATGTTTATCAACAGAAATTTCATTGGAAAGCATAGCGAAGATATGTTCATTCGAATAATGATCTTACACATATGACAAACACATCGCATATAGTTTACATTCTAGACCGCAATTATGGTGGACTATACCTCAGCTTATATGATAGAAAATAAAAACCAGGTACATATATACTGTGCGCAGCATTTATTTACATAAAATCTTTTCCTGCTTACTACGTTTTGACGATTTTATTTTGGCAAATAAAATGAATAACAATAAGGTAGTACTCGTTATTTTACTTAGTTCGACAAAAAGTTATTAGTAACGCGATTAGTGTAATTAGAAGTTGAACGTACGGCAGCACTGCAAAACATTGAACTTTAGTAACTGGACTGCCACATAGTAACTAGTACGTCACGCAATCAACCGACGCAACACGCGCAAAGCGTAAAATGTAATAATTATGTATGTGGTTTGCGACAAGTACGACGCTTGATACAAAATCATTTCAACACATAAATTGCTTCCGTTAAATTAAATAATACGGCGCGCGTTTGCTTGTATAAACGTCATAAAGTGCAAAAGTAATAAAGCGAAAACTTTGTTTCAAAAAGTTCATTTTTGATACAGTTAACAAAGCGAAAAAATTCTTTTCTCTTTATTTATAGATAGTAATGATATATAATTATTTTTTTTCTTTTATTTTAAAGAAAATGTAAACGATCACTTAAAATTACGCCATGAACCATATGATTTGGTTTTATTATATATCACTGTTTTGTTTATCAACAACAACTCATGCAAAAATTTTGAAAATTAACAACAATTTACGTCCGTAAACAACGTAGTGCAAGCTATATGTTCTCTTCGTTAAAATATACACAACTAATTTAATTTTGCTAGTTCGTGATACATGGACTACGAAAGTTTTGCGTTTTCCGCTTCGCTTTGCTTTTCGGAGTGAAAGTCTCAAGAGATGGGCACAACGGGAAGCTGCGTTATCATGTTATCTGATCAGAAAAAAATAAGAAAAGCGATGTGAACGTAAGCAAAAACATTTGGTTCAAAAAGTAAAAATAAAGAAATCAACATGAATGTGGACAACAAATATATGAACAATAATAACACAAACAATTAATGTAAAAGCAAATTAAGTTTTTGATTCGTTATTGAAATGAAGAACGAAAACAATAAGTTTAAAAGAAGGAACATAGAGGAGGCCTTCATTGAAGCGGTTACATAAAGCAAAAGCATTATGTAATGCTTCCATTTGAAAACTATTTTTAAATTGAAAAATTGCATTTGTTGCTGGTTTATATACACCTTATAAAATAATATCGAGTACAAAAGAAGAATTTCCAAATCGAAAAACAATAATAAGAAAACTTTAATTAACAAAAAATAAACATAAAGTAGATAATTAAATTCCGTATTTAAAATAAATTGTGTAGATTCATACAAAATTTTGGAGTTATCATCTATGACAGGGGCTGGGCACTAATTATGTATCTTCTAGTTAACTAGCTCTCATTTGAAAGGCGCACCTTAAGAAGTAAATTTTCTTCGAAAAAATGAGAGGTCGTTTGTTTACAATGATATCATCAATAACAAATGTATATAAACGTAAAAAAAAAAAAAAAAAAATATGTAAAAAAATATTTTTTTTTTTTTTTTTTTTTTTTTTTTTTTTACTCGCTCGGCAACTCTGCATGAAATAAGACGCTTTCTTGCAGAAAATTCTTGAAAAAGAAAAAATTCTCCTCTTTTTTTTTTCTGAAAACTCTTGAAGTAGTGAAAATATATATAGTGAAGTTGCGGCATTTAAACAAAATCAACAAAGGCTTCGACGTCCTTGTGCTTCTCCGCAAATTGCGCAGCACCACCTGCTGTCTTCAACCTCGTCCTGACAAGACTCACTTCGTCAACTCACCTGTACATTGGACATCAAGTAGCGGCGATTCCTGTCAAATTCTTAAAACTGCTTTAACTTACAAGGCTTTGTTCTTCTCTGTCTCTGTCGGTTCCACCAAAAACGGCTGATTTCCATATCCCTTCTTTTCTCGGTAAGTCAGTTGATCCTTTTCTCTTGCCTTTAATCTAGCACGAAACCTAAAAGTCGCCCGCCCCTCAAGGGGGTGAGGCTCTCAAACATGTTATCAAACGATGATGATTTCGAAAATTTTGTTCGAATCACGCATAGCAAGGGTTCATTTAAAAGAAAAATCACAGCCCAGAACGAAGGTCTCAAAAAGATCATCTCTGATAAAAACAATTCATCTGTAAAAGACTTGACTGAGGATATCAATATCACCTCCTTAAAGTCCCCGATCGCTCCCTCTAGGAATAGGCCTCCCAATAAAGACAGCTCTGTGAACAGTAACAATAATCGTAGTCCCATAAAAGGAAAGAGCTCTGACCCAACTAGTCCAAATCGTTATAGTGACGACACGACCGGTGAGTGCTACGTATTCATTGAAGTATTTAACAATAACCTAGAGAAACTTTTTCGCCTTAACTCAGATTTATTTTTTTTCGAACACATCAAAGATCTCAAATTGGATGGTTTGATTAATATCAAAACCATCATTGCCACTGCGGTTGATGCCAACAACTTTATAATAAACAATGATTTTGGTCCAAAGTCTTGCAAGGCCTACATCCCTAGAATTTTCACAGAAAAATTTGGGATCGTAAAAAACATTCCACCTTCAATTAAGGAAGAGGACTTTCTCAACTCAGCTACCTCTGATATTGAAATCATTTCTGTTACAAGAATCCTCAGAAGAGACCCTGCAGACAGAGAAATGTTCATCCCAACAAACAGCCTAAAAATTGGTTTCAAGGGTAAACTAATTCCCAAGAGTATAAAATTCAACTATTGCAATATTCCAGTTGACTACTTCATTCCTTCCGTCAGACTCTGCTATAATTGCGGCCGATTTGGTCACATCGCCAAATTCTGCAAAAGTGAGGAAAGCAGATGCCTGAACTGTGGCAAGTCACCGGCCTGTCCTACGGACTCATGCCTCTCAATCAAACGTCTAGGTTGCGGGTCGCTGGACCACAACGTAACATTTCGAGAGTGTCCAAAAAGAAAGAAAGCGGAAAATTTAAAAAAAATTTTAACCATCCAGAACTTATCTTTTAGAGAATACAAAGAGAAATTCTCTAACAACCCATACAATTTACTTGAAAATTATGACGTAAACTTCCCAGCAATGAAGGACAGCAATGCTCCTAACAATATCAGAGACCCTACTATTGATACAAATAATATTTTAATTAACAAAAACTTCAATGCAGTTTTAAAAAATAAAACAAGTATTCCCAAGTCCTTGCATAGAATGTCTCTCAAGACGCCCTCGACTTACAGTAACAAGTCGCAGGAGCCAAAAAAACCTACCCCACCCCCTGAAAAGCATACTTTCATCAATTACCACAAATCCATTGAAATGGAGATAATTCTGGAAAAGATTTTCAGGATTCTCTCCATCTCTTCTCAAGAAGACATGCTTAAAACCATCCAAACAGAAATAAGTTCCCTTAAATCAAAATTTGATCTTTTAAAACAAGGTACATCTGGGTCGGCCCTATCATGTTCTAACATTTCTCATGACGTCCTTCCTACAGTATAACATACAAAGCTTCAGGCGTAATGCCCATTCTCTTGATTTTTTCATAAATTCCAACCGTACTGATTTCACCATCTTGAGTGAAATCTTTCTGTCCGATGAAAAAATTTCCGATCTCAAAATCTCAAATTACAACTCCGCTTATAAATGTAGAAGTGACGGCTATGGAGGTGTTGCCATCCTTGCCAGAAAAGGCATATCCTTCAAACAAATCCCATTTAAATCGACTGCTGACATTGTCATTATCAAAACCTCTTGTCTAAAACCTAATATCGTCATTGCTGCTTGCTATTTCAAGCCCAACATCCCCATTCAATCTTTCCGGGATGACTTTAATCGTCTCTGTGATATGCTCAATAGTTTCCACAATGTCATAATTGCAGGAGATTTCAATGCAAGACACCCTTGCTTTGGTGACTCCGTGTCAAACAATAAAGGCAAAGCCTTGCAAGAAATTATTAAAGCTAGTAACTTCTATTGTCTGAATGATAATTCACCAACCTATTTTCACTCTACGACCAACAATTGTGGTAGCGTGTTGGATCTTACTTTCACTAACGCAACCCATCTCACATTCAAACGGGAGGTTAAAAAAGAAATTTTCCTGGGAAACAGCCACCACCTTCCTATTCTCTTTAATGCCACCTCTATTACCTCGTACAAGATAAATGACTTTATCTCGAGGAAAAAACTCCTAAATAATCTTATTCACGTATGTCTTGAGCCACAGGTCGAATCTATCCAGTGCCCATTTCAACAAGAAATAATTAACGCCAAATCCGACATCCAAATCTCGAATTCCTACTCACCAAATCCTTGGTGGAACGAGCTGCTCACTTCACAGTTCCGTAGATTACAGGCTGCTAAACAAAAATTTTCCAAATACCCCAATATTTCTAATTTTGAAGATTTCAAGTTATCACATAAAGAATGGAAGAAATCGATTAGAAAAGCCAAAAGATGCCATCGAGCCCTCGTTATCGAAGAACTATGCTCAAATAGCAATACAAAGCCATTCTGGAAATTTTTAAATGGTCATCGCACCACAAAAAAGAAATACAAACACCCCATTTGGGATGATCTCAACAACAAATCCTACCTTGAATGGCTGAAAGCTCAAGTTCCCTCGACATGTGGTCTCCAAACCTC